GACAAACGTCTTCAGTAGGCTGTTGGAAATGATTTTCGTGACGCGTCCGCCAAGTTTCTGACCGATATGGGGAAGTCAGTCAAAGCTGGTCAACTGTTCCTTTCTTCCATGTCTTTCTTCGTATCTATGAGTGCAACTACCGCCCCGGCATCTATTAGACACATAACTTCATTGTCGTTCTTTCCTAATTACTTATGCATTTACATGCTTTCTCACTTCCTTTATTTAGTTGCTTACTTACTTATTTAATTACTTGCACAATTACTTGCATACTTATTTACTTGCCCAATTAATTTATCAATCGCTTACTGCACTCACGCGATAACTCCTTAATTTACCATCAGTACCTCATTACTTACTTACATGCTCACTTTCTAGCCTCTTCACATAATTGCATACTTGTTTACTCGTTCATCTACCTTATTACTTACCTAATAATCAACTAGCATGTATCCTTACGTTCGTGAGTATTTACTCACATACTCACTTACTTACTTGCTTGCTTACTTACACACTCGCCTACTTGATTAATTGCCTACTTGCTTAAATAATTTCTTATTTATTCAGTTGCTCACTCAAACGCATACTTACTTCTTTCAATGCCCAGTTAACTACTTCCTAGCCTACTCACATACTCACCTGATTTCGTGATAAATTATATCCCAAATGAACCACTCACTCACTCACATATGTTCTCAATTAGTTATTCACTTACATTTTTGCCTGCTTAACAATTTCTTTATTTACCAGCTTCTTAACATGGCTACTGAATTACTTCTTAAGTAACATACTTCATTCTTTTGTTACTGTCATAATATTACTGTCGCATTATGTTTTATTTATTTTATCTTTTTAATTTTTGATTACAGCTTGATTCCACACTGTATTTGTGGTACAAGTGTGGAATTTTCAGCATGGATATCGGTAGCCTAAATTTCGCGTGCCGACCATAGATATCAGGTGTGCGTCGGTGCGGGCTCGAACCCCGGACCATGTGCATGGTCGGCGAGAGTCATAACCACTGTGCCACCGACGCACAGTGTCGAATAAAATAATCCTAATCTGCTTGGGCTGAGTCAGCCTATTAGCGCAAATACTAGAGAAAGTAGTCTGATTTGAAAAATACAATAAGGTTAAGAGTTTGGGTCAACGCAGTAGATTAAAATAATTTAGGTTATTGGTGTGGGGGGAGGGCGAAGCGGAAGGAAGAAAGCTGGAAAAGTTTATAATATAAAGTAAGTAAACTTGATGACGTAACACAGTTGACATGGTTGACTAGAGTTCAACTAAAATGTAGAGAGGTTGACCGAAAATTGAAGCCAAATTAGAAAAAACAACTATTAGTTTGAATACATTGACTGACAAGTAATCAACCCATAGGTTAAGACGGAATATTGATTTTATTTGCACCCAATAATAATGACGATAATATTTGTGTGAACACTGATCAGTTATCTGTTTAAAAGAATTGCATTCACTTTGTCAGTCATTTCGATTTTAATCGAGAGGAGAAATCTGTACGCGTGTGACTTGTGAGCTTTTCATTACGGATTAGATTTTTCGAGAGAATTGAAGGTGAGTTTGCCTATGGATGTGCTGGTTAATTGTTTATCTGTGTAACTATTTTGAATGTCGTTAGGGAGAATTATTTAGGCTTAATTTGACCCTGTTGTAGGTAGTAAGTTGTGGTGGTTGGTGCCTCTTTATTGATGTACTGGTGATTTAGTGGAAACAGGAGCCCTGCTCTAACACTAGAAGTAGGATGTATGTGACACTTCAGTCGTAGAAATTCGTTGTCTTCATTTCATGCATTCGTGAGGATGATATTTGTCAAGCAGTCTCTTTTGTAAATGTTCACTCTTAGATGTCAATTACTTCTCATTGAAATGTTCATCGTGGGCATGTAGGCATTACTGACTGACGCCTTTTGATGCGAATATTGAGCGTTTGCGATGAAGTGATGGATCTTACGGTCGCTGGTGAACGTAAGCCGTGTTCCTTATTATTTCAGTGCAGGATTTGAAATCGAGATAGGAATTGATTTCCATTTTAAAATCGGTGTTCTTACGTGGAGGCTAGAAATTTTGTTGTTTGTCCTCGCCTTTGCTTTTATTAGCTCACAAGATTCGCATTGTCCCCTCTAAAGCTGTCCACAGGTCGACCTAGTCCTTTCCTCTTGAATAAATCAACTTCTCTCTTTGTACCAGACGGAGTCAGATGCTTGTGAGCTGAAGAGTACAGTTGGCGTGCAATGTCTAACATGAGTTCTCCAACAAATTCAGTTGTTCACATAGAAGTAATTCTTGGGTCTCCGGCTGCCGGTAACATGGCGAAAACTTGAAAAACAGTGTGCGTCGGTGGCACAGTGGTTAGGGCTCTCGCCGACCATGCACATAGTCCAAGGTTCGACCCCTTGCCGACTCACACCTGATAGCTATGGTCGGCCTGCAAACTTAGGGCTACCGATATCCATGCTGAAAATTCCATACCTGTACCAAAACATACGGTGTGGAATCATGCTGTAATCAAAAATAATAACAAAAATAATTATCAGTAAAACACAATGGTGGAATTAACAGAATGAATATGTCCTTTCGGAGATGAATAATGAGCTTCTCGCCTTGAAAGCTGAATGATAGTTATGAGTTTCATCTGTCTTCCGGCATTGAGTGTGCAAAGATGAAGCGTAGGAAATTTGGGAGAACCGTTTATTCATAGCCTCTTAGTTTCCAGTGGACATCTGACGAAGTTACATCAGAGCGGTTGAGTAAGTTACCCTTAATCAAGCCAAAATCCTAGCATTGCAATTCGCTTAACTCCTCGAGACTGCAGGAGATGTGTCGTGAATGATTTGTTCACAGTGCAAGAATCATTCGAAGTCAAAACACACCATCTCTCACCACTTTGAAATTAGATATCAAGCATAGGTTTGTAAAATTCTGTGTTCCTTCTGAATAGTGGATTGCCTTTGATTTTATAGGTGAACAGAGGATCCAGGTGTATTGAGAGACAAACGACGGGTGAGGAAAAATTGATAATTGTGAAGAGGGAAGAAGAGGACCAAAGCCACACGTTGCTCACTTCAACTTCCCATGAAGTGGTTTCGGTTGGTGCTGAAATCTCCAGAATCGATGGAACTATATTGAACTCAGGGATGGACGAGTGCATCGAACAGAATTTTGCAGAAGACAATATCGATGCATGGATCAGAGTGGTGGTACATAGAGATATCCCATGCGTTTGTTATGGGAAATTAACTTGTGTGTCAGACCATCGAAAGTTCTTTTCAATGCGAAACGTGATCGAGTTTGACCGGTCGACATTTGACGAGAGAATCATCTGTGAATTGAATCCAGACAAGTTTGTCCGATCAGGAGAGGATATCGAAGAATTAAGAAGTCTGAGGCCAACATCGCCATGTCTTCGCTGTGAAGAGTGCTTTTGTCCCTTGTCAGAGTGAATACATTTTCGAAAATCAGTGTTTCCTTATTTTGTTATTCCAACGTGTATTCTTATTTCTTCTCAACACACTTTCAGTATTTACCCTGAGTCGGTTTATTTACGAAATCTGGATGGTGTTCGCTGACGAATGAGTTCCTGTGTAGGTGATGTAAAGCTGGCTAATGGTGATGGTGTTGATGATGATGTAAGAACGTCGAGTTCGACATTCGCCTTTATTCCCACCCGTAGCTTGTCAGCTAGGTGTAGCGTATATCATCAAATCAGTTGACTATATTGACTATGCTCTGAGCAATGAGTAGCAGTTAATCAACTTGAGCACACTAACTTATTCCGTCTAGAACGATTTGTGAATCATGTATCCACCTTAAAATGTTTATTCCTCGAATTAGTATGTCATTTCTCAGAGCTCGAAAAGAGTAGGTGAATGACTGCCGAAGACTGAGTCAGGCTGTTCTTATTTCTGCTGAAATATTGAGAAAACCTGAACATGAGCTGGTTGAAGCCTAAAGATGTTGTCCATGGAGGAGGAGAGTGTATATTCTGTACTGTACTTACAGCTAGTTGGATTACCAGCTTTTGAAATTTTACTCTTGACAGAATGACTAACACTAAGTAATTGAATCTGATTAGACCATTTGACAGACTAGGTATGTTTTCCGATTTCAGTATTCCTAAAGACTCATTGATTTATTAGCATGACAACTGGTGATAAGAGAAAATTCGAAACCTGTCATGTAACCTACTTTCCACCTACATTCGTCTGTTTATATTCCGTAGTGCGGCGGTGGCGAACAAAGCGGATTTCATGTGGACTGTGATCTGCTCTTGATTTATGACCCAGTTCTCTCTCACGCTACTCATGAGCTTTGAAATCCTATTGGTTGTTCACTGTCTGAATGACATTAATGCTTCTCAAAGTCACTGTAGACATTTATATACGCCAGCGCTGTCAATCATTTTTGACTATTGTTTTGAGATAGTAGGAGCTCTTTTCTCAACGTCTAGTCCTCTCTTCTGTCTTTGTGTGCGGGTAGTGTCACTGTTGTCGTTGGTGGTGGTGTTGACGTGCCGTTAGGACAGATTAGCCAGCGCATTAAGTTATTATTCGCTCATAGTCTGCCAGGTCGTAGTTCCGGACATAACAGCTCTAGAATTCATCCATGTATCCTGTGGGTGACTGGACAGTTTGCTTCCTCGAATGTTCTAGAACGGTGCATATTTGTTGATATATGACTTCTGAAAAGCGGTACTGAGCTGCTTACCTGTCGAATTTTTACTGCACGAGGTATTTATTCTTAGACCACAAGTGAAATAGTGAATTAAATAGTCTTCATAACTAGATGTTGGTTCTCGTGTCTTTCATCGTTTGTTCTCATACAAAACTAGGAGAGAAAAGTTTCAGTTGTGTCACAGCCATCTTCGACTCCTATGTGTTTTGGGAACTTGAAACAGTTGATGAATTTGTAGCAGGTGTCTTCGCCTTGTCTGTGATTGGCAGTCAGCTGTACGTAAGCACTGAATCCTCCGAGTTTGGATTTGCTGAAACCAATCAGACTGAACTATTAATAATTAACTTGAAATGTGATTGTTCATTGATGACGTTTGAGTTCTGGTGTTAACCTGATGATATTTATTACAGCTCCCTAACTGATGTTCGCGTTCATTAAAATTTCCGTATTTTGTAGAGTGACGACACAGGGTGTGAAGACGTCAGGAGGTTTGGAAGGCAAGAAATGTACTCCACTTGACGTTCCGTTGATGATTATACCAGGTTGTGTATTAGTTCCTTTCCGTAAAGTTCTCAGAATGGAGACTTTTCCAGTTAAACTTTCTCAGCAGCCTAAAGGTTTCCAGCAGTTTAACAGAATCCCACTGACAAGACAGGCCAATGAAGTGAAACACGGTGGCGACAGTGACGAACTTTTGAGGAGTGCTAAGACTCCGACATCACCAATGCGTAAGAATTCACAATTTGCCAATGAGAGAAGTACGCATTGTGGGAGACAGAGTGTGAATTTGCAGAATAACCCCGAGGTAGGTCATGCTATTCCAGTTGTTTTTATCTACTCATGTGGTGGGCACACTTTAGTAGCTTTCATGATTGACAGGGAGCAGGTTTGTTACTGGAGACTACCTCTCACGTCTCCAGCACAAAGCATTCAGGTCCTTTCACCCCATTTATTCAGAATATGCTGACTGGAATCTGAAGGAGGGGATCATGAGAATTTGAGGCGATAACCTCATGTGTGCGTGTGTGTGATTTATTCTCCGTGTAGACAGACCCATCTACTTGATGACCTATGGATTACTGATGGCGTCTCAGTGACTTTGTGCGTGCAGTTGAGACTTCGAAGTACAATACCTGGAGAATATTACGCTGCATCCTTCTAGGATGAGAGCGCAGGCAATGAAACCTCCGAGGTGATAGACAAGGAAGAGTAGTGACGCTTTCAGTTTTGGTGATGAGAGTATCTGAGATAGTGTTGTAGTTGTGGCAGACTACTTACTACTGATGTTATGGGTGATAAGTGAAATTGAGATGAAAATGTGGGTCAGTGGAGAAATCGAGTGGCTATGTGAAATGTTATTCATGTGGTAGAGCGGTGACACTCAGAGATTCCTGCTGTCCAGAGTGGTATATCGGATGGGTGATTGAAGTGCTGGTATTCTTCGCTTTGTCTCTGGTTAGCCAATCCGGACAGTGTCCCATAGAACACTCATGGTCTATGTATTTTACACCAGAGTGAATTGTGTACTGTTAGATATTCAGTGGTGTGGCTGAAAGCTGTTTCCCACTGGTCACACGATAATTCCCTGTTGAATGCAAATACTGTTGTATTTAGATTGTGAATGAGAAGGGAATTCTGTTGACTGATATGCATTCTGTGCATAAACTCGGAGTGAATCGTCGCCATCTTTCTGAAGGGTTATGTTTCTGCTTGTGTTGGTGTATTGTTTAATCTTTAATACTTGTCTTCTCTTAAACTAGACGAATCTGGATGCAAGCGCTATTGTCCAACCTGGAGGCACTTGGAATATAGGAATGGGGGGAAGTTGGAATATCCAGACCACACATGGAGAACAGTGGATCAGAATTGCCTGAATGGTGTGCTCTAGATGATGACATTATCAGTGCAATAATTTGACAATCGCTCTTCTGAATTTTTACAATCTCTTTCAAAATAAATGTTTGGTTTTTCTGTGTTATCTTGTTCAAGTGAGTGTGTAGAATGCTTGGGGAGAGTTGGTTCAGTGAATGATGAAGGAGGTATTGAAGTATTTCGTCTTTAACATGTCATCTCTCTTCTTGTCTTAAAGGGTGACTGAAAAGATGTCCATTCTCTCCAACGTCCGAATTATAAATGTGGACTGTTTAGTCATAAGTTATGATCAGCTGTTGAAATAGGACGGGAAATAACAATGAGAGATATTAGTTTTCCACAAGCATGTTGTTCACCATTGTGTGTTTCGACGCAGGTTTTTTGAAGCGAAGTAGTCAATGCCCTCAATGACGACGTGATTCAGTGAAGCACTGAAAACCTGAAAGCTCTAGTCAAGTGTTGTTTCTCTACATAAGGTTCACTGACAGTGTGAGTAGATAACCGACCTTGTTGACCTTGGATTACCAGCCAATTCGATAATCATGTAATCAGTGAAGAAATGTCTCAGAAACGCAATTGTAATGTACTTGAGTCGAGCTGGAATGCTATAGTGTGTGTGCACCACTCATGTTCTTCCAACCAGAAAGGAGTAGATGTCAAATGTTTCTCTAGCTGATACTGTATTGAGATGAAATTGATCTTGAAACCAGTTAAATAAGGAAATTCAAATAGCAACGAGTGGAAATTCTGACCAATAATAGTAGGTGAAATGTAACTGTTGAATTATCCGTGCTTCCTGTGTTACGTGTGGTCATGAGGATGCGTGAGAATCGCCACACATATTGTCACAGAGGCTATATTCATTCCTCAACATGTCAGATACTCGATGGAAATGTGAAGCTTTTAGGCCGAACCTGGTTTTCCTGATTTCGCTTCTTTATGCTGAGTGTAGCAGATTTACACAATGTTGCTATTACTTTTATTTCGAGTTATTTGGTCTAATGGCATGGATGACTGTTTCACCTTTTCTGATGTTTGTGGCTTCATAAATGGAATTTCACAAATGAATGTGGAATATCGGTAATCTCTCCTCCGGTTGATCACTGTTAAGTGAGGTGAGGTGGGAGGGGGGAATTTTCAATTAACCAAATTCATGGTGTTCCGGTGATCGTATGTCCTCAACACATGAGTTTGATGAATGCATCACAATGCATCTCGTAAATATCATAGTTATATTGGTATGGTCTTTCTGCCCAAGGATAACTTTGTTAGGCCAACAGTAAGATTTCAGCCTTGAACTGTAGATCATTGTCTTACTTCGTGTAAAACACAAGAGATTTCGAAGTCGAACAGACCGATGCTGACACACTGCTTATTGAAGAGGTGAAGGAAAAAATCTTTCATTGAGGGGATTCACTTTATTAGTAATAGGTAGATTATGACTCTTGATGTAGTCAGTCCTTCCTATGAAATTGTATTTCCCTTGTGACAAACTGATTCAACAGTGTACTGGAAACTGAAACTTGAAATGATGCATTAGCCTCCGGACATTTTTTGGTGACATGATTCAATCGTCTTTACGTCATCACAACAAGGTTTAAATAACTCTCACAGTATAGTGCTGAGTAATGCTCAATAACATTTTGTTTTGATTATAGCTTGATTGCACACCGTATTTTTGGTACAGGTGCGAATTTTCAACATATGATATAAGTAGCCCAAAGTTTGCAGACCGACCATAGATTTCAGGTGTGCGGACCATGCGCATTGTTGGCAGGAGTCATAACCGCAATGCCACCGACTTCCTTACATCCATGAAATTATGTTTATGGTCGGTTTCTGAAGGTCAGATCAAGTATTTATAGTTCGCCTAATTTTTAAGGAAATCTCGGTGCATAGTAGAACCATACTTATGAGTGCTTCGGTAACAGATATCACAATGAAAGGACAACAGTAATCACAGACATCTTAACTAGATGAAAATTAGGTGATTCATGAAGTGAATATACCTGTGCAGTTCACATGGGCCGTCTGAAGTACCAGAGAATATGGAAGAAATAAGTATTTTGACAATGTGCAGTTCCCGTACCTGATTGACTACAACTTCCCATCCGCCTTTAATATACAGGCAGTGAATTCTTTAACTAATGGCATACTGAAGCTTTGATAGAGGAAATTCTCTGCGCCAGTCTCACTCTTTCTAGGTCGTGTTTTAAGACTGTCAGTCATATAGTTTGTACAACATACGATCATTTCGATTCGGGGATTGTTGAAGTGTCAGACTGATTCCTTTTCTCTTTTTGTCAAGTATCATTATTTAACGATTGGTTTCACCAGGTATGGATCTGGGAAGTGTAAACGATGCATTCCTAGTCAGTTGTGGTATTGGTGAGGAGAATGAGGGCATACAGAACGAAAGACGCGTCACTTTCTATGTCTTGAAGTTAGCATGAAATGGTGACTCTGATAGCCAGTAGAAATCACTTTATCATTCAGTCAGTCTTTGTAACTTCGGAGAACACTCTGTAGTAGAGATTTCGTAATCACTTATTCACAATAATGAGTCGAAACTATATCCAGTAGTGATGCCAGTAGGATCTTCCTAGATGCTGACTGTCTAATACTCAAATGAAGTACAGTGCAGACGTGTGCCTAAAACACGTTTATTGAAACTCCACAGTTCAGTTGTCTTCTTTTTTGATTAGAGAGTTTAATAACTAATGCCCATTATTTAGTGGACAAGGGAAATGTTAGCATTTCGATTCTCGAAATATACCCAGTAGTTCATAAGGAAAGCACACCTTTTGTTCAGCGAAGTGATATCTCCCTCTTTTTTCACAGACTTCATTTTCAAGCTGTACAGTCATATTTATATTACGAAAAGAGAAACAGCGTTTTTTATGCAGCTGACTTTCATCTAGTGTTTACCAGCTGAAATATGATTCGACAATGTGTTGAGGATAAACTACCGCTTATTTCCACCTCTATGTACAGATACTCGTTCATCCCATTTCACTTCATCTTCGCCGTCTTTACTGTTACCGTCATCATACTGTTAATATTTTAGGCAACACCTGACCTACAAATTGAATAGTTTTGTAATCCATCCACTTCAACTCTACCCCCTTCCCCCTTGGTGCATCATTTTAATTATCCTAATTCTTATCATGTGCATATTGACTGAGCAATTTCTAATGCCACTTAATGCTTTTTTTCCGTAATGTAGTTACGACTCTACAGCTTCGAAATGAAGCAGTTGGAAAGAGATATTTCTTCGCTGATCAAAAACTGTATTTGGTTTCTCGTAGAAACATCGACTCAACAAATATTCACAACACCAAAAGTCATAGGTTTCTCGATAAAGACGATTGAGATAGTGGCTCGCGGTTGGCCTATCAACTTTAAAAACTCGCTATATTTCTTGAACTGAAAACTGAATTCGATCGAGGTGTACTGTGACAGTTTCTGCGCGTGAGTCAACTGTTGATAAAGTGTATTACACTCATCAAGGCATTCTCTTTAATCGAACTTATGAAGACGTGAGAAAGAGCGTGGAGAGTCATAATCTGATGTCTTGACAACCAACGGTGCCCGTGAGAATTGCTCGAGGTCTCCATTTTTGTTCACTTTCATCATGGATGTACTTATGTTTGTAGCCCTGATCGATATAAAGGTTTAGGGATTAACCTGTTTCTATGGTACAGCGCAGTTGATATACAGTGTACAGATGACATATTCCCCCTAGGTGAAGACGTGGACGAAATTATGAATATTCGGAAACCATGAGCAGACATCTTCGAGTTTTTTGGCATGAGATTTACTCCTGTCGAGTGTAAGATGAATCTGCGTGACTAGTATGCATCAACACCATGTGTAGAGATAGGGCTAAAGCGGTTGTCTGTGTTGACCGCTTATTTAGGTAGTTGAATCAACCCTAGTTGACTGAATAATGTGAAATCTCAGCATGGACACGAAAGGCTCATGTGGCGTATGTCGATTCACGTCATTACTCGCGTAGAAATGTTTTCCGCCTAAGGATGGAAAGACCTTTGTAGTGCGCAACAATTTGCGCTGTCGTTTTTTGTGGCTTTGAAACGTAGTCATTGAGAATAGAAGCTATTCAATGTCTAGCATTCCCTGTTCACATAAATTCGAAATCCACGTCCGGTGTTAAGCCGTAGAATACGGTACATAATATTCGGTTTGGGGCGTCGGTTGCATAGCGGTAGGACGCTCGCCGACCATGCACATGGTCCGGGATTCAAGCCCCGGCCACAGATGCACTCATTTACCTCGCTAGGCCAGAAATGACGCTGGTAAAGAGGAAAGGCTGGACATGAGGCTAGCAACCCCATCCTGTAAAATTAAGACTGCTACAGAAACTTCAAGCCACTAGCTTGAGGCCCTATGTTCCACTGGGGAACGTGAAGGAAAAAAATATTCGGTTTAAGTGTAGTGTTAGGTAAGGAAGGAAAGTCCACATTACTTGTTTCGCATACGAGTTATCGCCTTGCTCGTCGAGCAATTACAGCTGACACAGTGTTAGGTTGTAAAAGAGTTAGGTGTGGTCAAATAGAAACTTTCCATCATTCCATGAAGTCTTTGACTGTTGCTTTCTAGGTTAGACGTACGGAGGTGTTGATTGCCTGATTGGTGTGACCAAGACATAAAGAAGCGAATGCTTGAGACAACTGGTAACATCGCTCAGAACCGTCCTGAGTGACGAATATGGATTATCACTCTCTGACATCCTACAGATCCGTTAAATCCTCTTTAGTCTCAAAATAATTATTCTTTCATCTATACATTTCTATGAATTTCTCCTTTTTCTCAACACTTTCATGCTACATGGAGTGTGGCAAGTTGAAGTTGCGCACTTCTTTGCAAATTTCTAAAGGAAAGTTGGTCGGTCATCATCCTAGACATGACAAACTTTCTGAATTTGTATTAATGAACCTACAGGATTGTCTTTTTAAAAACGTGTTACGATAGTGGTACTAGGTAGAAAAGTCAAAAGGCGTTGGAATGACAGGCTTCTAAAACAGT